GGAAAAAAATTGGGGAAAAAATGGAAAAAAATTGGGGGAAAATGGGAAAAAATTGGGGAAAAATGGGAAAAAATTGGGGGAAAATGGGAAAAAATTGGGGAAATTGGGGAAATTGGTGGGAAGTGGGAAAAAATTGGGGGGAAATGGGAAAAAATGGGAAAAAATTGGGGGAAATGGGAAAAAATTGGTAAAAAATGGGAAAAAATTGGGGAAAAATGGGAAAAAATTGGGGGAAAATGGGAAAAAATTGGGAAAAAATGGGAAAAAGTTGGGGAAAAATGGGAAAAAATTGGGGAAAAATGGGAAAAAGTTGGGGAAATTGGGGAATTGGTGGAAAAGTGGGAATGTTTTTTGGGAATGATGGGAAATCCCTGCAGGAGCCAGTGGAGGGGCTGAGCCCGGAGCGAGTGCTGGACGTGGGGACGGACGGGCGGCTCCACGTCCTGTTCGGAGGGACCCGCGTGATCCAACACCTCCCGCCCCCGCGCGCCGCCGCAGGGATCCGCCGTGGGTGCTCCCGCTCCCTGGGATCCTGGGAATTCACTGGGATCCCGGCCTGGAATTCACGGGATTCATTGGAATTCACTGGGATTCACTGGAATTCACTGGGATCCCAGCCTGGAATTCCTGGAATTCACTGGAATTCACTGGGATCCCGGCCTGGAATTCACTGGAATTCACTGGAATTCACTGGGATCCCAGCCTGGAATTCCTGGAATTCACTGGATCCCGGCCTGGAATTCCTGGAATTCACTGGGATTCACTGGAATTCACTGGGATCCTGACCTGGAATTCACTGGAATTCACTGGGATTCACTGGGATTCACTGGAATTCACTGGGATCCCGGCCTGGAATTCCTGGAATTCACTGGAATTCACTGGGATCCCGGCCTGGAATTCACTGGAATTCACTGGAATTCACTGGGATCCCGGCCTGGAATTCCTGGAATTCACTGGGATCCCGGCCTGGAATTCCTGGAATTCACTGGAATTCACTGGAATTCCCTGGGATCCCGGCCTGGAATTCCTGGAATTCACTGGAATCCCCAATCCCTGGAATCCACTAGAATCCTGGCCTGGGATCCCTGGAATTCACTGAATCCCGGCCTGGAATTCATTGAAATCCCGGCCTGGAATTCATTGAAATCATGGCCTGGAATTCATTGAAATCCCGGCCTGGAATCTCAGCCTGGAATCCAGGGAATTCACTGCAATCCCCAATCCCTGGAATCCACTGGAATCCCGGCCTGGAATTCACTGGAATTCATTGGAATCCTGGCCTGGAATCCCTGGATTGGATTCCCCAATCCCTGGAATCCAGGGAATTCACTGAAATCCTGGCCTGGAATTCACTGAAATCCTGGCCTAAAATTCCATGAAATCCTGGCCTGGAATTCCCCAAAATTCCACCATGGGATCCCTGAAATCCCGGCCTGGAATTCACTGAAATCCCAGCTTGAAATTCCCTGAAATTCATTGAAATCCTGGCCTGGAATTCATTGAAATCCTGGCCTGGAATTCACTGGAATTCATTGAAATCATGGCCTGGAATTCATTGAAATCCTGGCCTGGAATTCACTGAAATTCCGGCCTGAAATTCCTTGAAATCCAGCCTGGAATTCACTGGAATCCCGGCCTGGAATTCCCTGAAATCCCCAAAATCCCAGCATGGAATCCCAGCCTGATATTCCCAAAATCCCGACCTGAAACTCCCTGAAATTCCAGCCCTGATCCCAACCTTGAACCCTCTGGAATCCCAACCTGAAATTCCCAAAAATCCCGACCTGAAATTCCCAAAAATCCCGGCCCGAAATTCCCAAAAATCCCGGCCCGAAATTCCCAAAAATCCCAGCCTGAAATTCCCAAAAATCCCGACCTGAAATTCCCAAAAATCCCGACCTGAAATTCCCAAAAATCCCAGCCCAAAATTCCCTAAAATCCCAGCCTGAAATTCCCAAATTCCCAGCCCTGAAATTCCCAAATTCCCACCCTGAAATTCCCAAAAATCCCAGCCCAAAATTCCCAAAAATCCCAGCCCAAAATTCCCAAAATCCCGCCCTGAAATTCCCTGAAATTCCAGCCTGAAATTCCCCAAAATCCCGGTCTGAAATTCCCAAAAATCCCGGTCTGAAATTCCCAAAATCCCAGCCCGAAATTCCCAAATTCCCAGCCCAAAATCCCACCCTGAAATTCCTGAAATTCCAGCCTGAAATTCCCAAAAATCCCGGCCTGAAACTCCCTGAAATTCCAGCCCTGATCCCAACCTGGAACCCTCTGGAATCCCGACCTGAAATTCCCCAAAATTCCGGCCTGAAATTCCCCAAAATTCCGGCCCGAAATTCCCAAAAATCCCAGCCCCAAATTCCCAAATTCCCGCCCTGAAATTCCCAAAAGTCCCAGCCTGAAATTCCCAAATTCCCGCCCTGAAATTCCCAAAAGTCCCAGCCTGAAATTCCCAAATTCCCATCCCCAAAATTCCCAAAATCCCGGCCTGAAATTCCTGAAATCCCAGCTTGGAATTCCCAAATTCCCGCCCTGAAATCCCGGGGTTATTTCCTGGGATTCCCGCTGTGATTTTCTCAGGGAATTCCCTGGGATTTCCTCGGGATTTGCTCAGTGGATTTTCCCGGGAATTCCGAGTGGGTTTTCCCGGGAATTCCGAGTGGGTTTTCCCGGGAATTCCGAGTGGATTTTCCCGGGAATTCCGAGTGGGTTTTCCTGGGAATTCCCCGTGGGTTTTCCCGGGAATCCCGAGTGGGTTTTCCTGGGAATTCCAAGTGGATTTTCCCGGGAATTCCGAGTGGGTTTTCCCAGGAATCCCGAGTGGGTTTTCCCGGGAATTCCAAGTGGGTTTTCCCGGGAATTCCGAGTGGGTTTTCCCGGGAATCCCGAGTGGGTTTTCCCGGGAATTCCCCGGATCCAGCGGGATTTTTCCCTCCCCAGCCGTGGATAACGGGTGCTTGGCCTTCGCCCTCCGCACCGGCTTCAACACCTCCCAGGTGAGCCGGGAATTCCGGGAATTCCGGGAATTCCGGGAATTCCGGGGACCGGGGGGGCTCGGGAATGCCGGGCTCGGGAAGGGGGAGGAAAATACGGATCAGGAATGGGAGGAATTCCCAGGTTTTAAAGGAATTCCCAGGTTTTTAAAGAATTCCCAGGTTTTTAAAGAATTCCCAGGTTTTAAAGGAATTCCCAAATTTTTAAAGAATTCCCAGGTTTTTAAGGAATCCCCAGACTTTTAAAGAATTCCCAGGTTTTTAAGGAATCCCCAGACTTTTAAGGAATTCCCAGGTTTTTAAGGAATTCCCAGGTTTTTAAAGAATTCCCAAATTTTTAAAGAATTTCTAGGTTTTTAAGGAATTTTAGGTTTTTAAGGAATTTTAGGTTTTTAAGGAATTTCCAGGTTTTTAAGGAATTTTGAAAGGTTTGGAAGGAATTCTGTGCGTTTGAAGGGATTAGGAAGGAATTCCATGATTTTTTAATTAATTCCATGGGATTTAGAAGGAATTCCATGATTTTTTAATTAATTTTTTGGGATTTAGAAGGAATTCCATGATTTTTTAATTAATTCCATGGGATTTAGAAGGAATTCCACGATTTTTTTAATTAATTCCATGGGATTTAGAAGGAATTCCATGATTTTTTAATTAATTCCATAGGATTTAGAAGGAATTCCATGATTTTTTAAGGAATTCCGTGGGATTTAGAAGGAATTCCATGATTTTTTAATTAATTTTTTGGGATTTAGAAGGAATTCCACGATTTTTTTGAGGAATTCCATGGGATTTAGAAGGAATTCCATGGTTTTTTTAATGAATCCTGTGGGATTTAGAAGGAATTCCATGATTTTTTTGAGGAATTCTGTGGGATTTAGAAGGAATTCCACGATTTCTTAAGGAATTCCGTGGGATTAGGAAGGAATTCCATGATTTTTTAATTAATTTTTTGGGATTTAGAAGGAATTCCATGATTTTTTAATTAATTCCATGGGATTTAGAAGGAATTCCATGATTTTTTTAATTAATTCCATGGGATTTAGAAGGAATTCCATGATTTTTTTTAGGAATTCTTTGGGATTTAGAAGGAATTCCATGATTTTTTTTAGGAATTCCGTGGGATTTAGAAGGAATTCCATGATTTTTTAATTAATTCTTTGGGATTTAGAAGGAATTCCATGATTTTTTAATTAATTCCATGGGATTTAGAAGGAATTCCATGATTTTTTAATTAATTTTTTGGGATTTAGAAGGAATTCCACGATTTTTTAAGGAATCCTGTGGGAATTGAAAGAATCTCTCCAATTCCAAAGAGATTTTGGAGTTGTTTCCCCCCACGACCCTCTGGAATTCTGAAGGAATTCCCAGAGAATTCCATGGAATTCCAGCAGCTGGGGCTGTTTTTTCCAGGGAAAGCTGCTCCGGACGATCCTGTTTGGGGTGAAGAGGGTCACGGCCAACAACCTGGAGACCTTCATCTTCATCCTCTTCCTCCTCGTCTTCGCCGTCGCCGCCGCCGCCTACGTCTGGATCCAGGGTGGGAATCCCGGGAATTTGTGCCAAACTCGGAGGGAAAATTGGGAATTTCTGGCTCAGATTTTGGGGGAAAGACGGGAAATTCTCGGTCCTGAAGGATTTTCCTGTTTTGATCCCGTTTTTCCCGGTCCTGGTTCCTTTTTATTCCCCTCAAATCCCTTTTTGATCCCATTTTTCCCCATTTTGTTCCCATTTTTCCCAATCCAGACCCCTTTTTTCCTCTCAAATCCCATTTTGATCCCATTTTTCCCCTTTTTGATCCCATTTTTCCCTTTTTGTTCCCATTTTTCCCAATCCTGATCCCCTTTTTTCCCCAAAATCACATTTTGATCCCATTTTCCTCATTTTGATCCCATTTTTCCCCTTTTTGATCCCATTTTTCCTCATTTTGATCCCATTTTTCCCAATCTTACACCTGGTTTTTTCCACTTTTATCCCATTTCTTCCAGTCCTTACCCCATTTTTCCCATTTTTATCCCATTTTTTCCCATTTTGATCCCGTTTTTCTCATTCCTGATCCCATTTTTCATCCCTAATTCCATTTTTCTGATTCCCAAGGAACCAAGGATCCCCGTCGGAACCAGCACCGCCTGTTCCTGGAACGTGCCCTGATCCTGACCCCATTTTTTCCCATTTTATCCCATTTTATCCCATTTTAACCCCATTTTTTTCCATTTTAACCCCATTTTTTCCCATTTCCAGGCACCAAGGATCCCCGTCGGAACCAGCACCGCCTGTTCCTGGAATGTGCCCTGATCCTGACCCCATTTTATCCCATTTTTAACCCATTTTATCCCATTTTAACCCCATTTTTTCCCATTTTTCCGTGTTTCCAGGCACCAAGGATCCCCGTCGGAACCAGCACCGCCTGTTCCTGGAATGTGCCCTGATCCTGACCCCATTTTATCCCATTTTTAACCCATTTAACCCCATTTTAACCCCATTTTATCCCATTTTATCCCATTTTTAACCCATTTTATCTCATTTTTAACCCATTTTATCCCATTTTACCCCATTTTTTCCCATTTTATCCCATTTTAATCCCGTTTTTTCCCATTTTTCCGTGTTTCCAGGCACCAAGGATCCCCGTCGGAACCAGTACCGCCTGTTCCTGGAATGTGCCCTGATCCTGACGTCCGTGGTGCCCCCGGAGTTGCCCATCGAGCT